GAGCTGGAATCATTTTGGAGGGATTCGCATTCCTAGCTTCATTGGCTCTATTGGAAGTTTGAGGTATCTCGACCTGTCTCATGCCGAATTCAGCGGGGCCATTCCTCATCAACTAGGAAATCTCACCATGATACGTTATCTGTACTTGAACTGGAATCAACTTTTTCAAGGTAGTTTTCCTGAAACTGAAACTGAACTACGGTTACATGGCGATAATTTACACTGGGTTTCAGGACACTGGAGGGGCCTCAGACCATCCCAGCTGCAGAGCATCAATGCCACCCTCCATTATATAGTCCAGATTAGTAGACAGATCAGACCAGACCAGCATCCCATATCAGAGACCTTCACAGACAGTTTAGTAGATTATCTGCAGAGACCTTCACAGACAGTTCAGCTTCCAGCTATAGCCCAGCTTCCACCTTCCACCTTCACACTAGTAATAGCCCAGCCATAATCCTATGTCAGACACCCTCTCACCTGCTTCAAGTTTGTGACAAAATCATGTACTGTGTAGTGCACGCCCTTAACATTTGACTTAACCCATAATGCAATTCTTACTTTCAAGCTCTCTACCATCTGTGCAAAATCTGCATTACCATTGTTAAATAAACATTCATTCCTAAGTTTCCATAAGGACCATAACATAGCCAAAGGGACCACCTTCCAAATATTGAACTCCATCTTCTTTAATTTCATACCAGACCACTAGTCAAGCAAAACAATCATAGATCCTGGTGTTACCCACTGCACTTCCCACCAGCTTATCAACTCAGACCATAACTTCCACACCAATGGACAAAAAAGCAACACATGATTTATGGTTTCTACCTCTGCGTTGCAAAATACACATAAGGAGCTGACATTGATGGGTAGAGCTCCAATCCTGTGCATAAATTCTGCGGTTTTGATTCTCCCTTTCCAAGCTAACCAGCTGAAGAACTGAGCCTTTGGAGGTGCTGCATTTTTCCATAGGAAGTTTGAAATGGGAATCCTGGATCCATTAACTACCTCCAACCTTTCCCACACTGAGGCCACAGTGAATACCCCTGAATTATTAGCTTTCCACAGACAGTTATCCTCAGTCACAGGATTTAGATTAGGAATCTCTGCTAATACTACATTTAGTCTTTGTACTTCCTCCTCCTCCCATGCTAGGAGGGATCTTCTAAATGCCAACTTCCAATCACTGCCCAACCCTTTCCGTTGGTAGAAAAACTGCAAGGAACCATCCTTCTTCACGGATAAACTAAACAGTCTAGGGAACTCACACCTAAGACTCATATCATTAAACCATCTATCCATCCAAAAATGAATCCTTTCCCTATTTCCCATAATAATCCTAAAGTTTTGTGAGAAAAACTCCGCCACTACACTATTGGATGAAGCTAATGATGCAATATCCTTCCACACAATAGATACCATTGCAGCTGGCACTGGTTCTGGTGTCCACCTACCTCCAATCCCACCATATCTGCTACATACCACCCTTTTCCAAAGAGACTGATGTTGACAACCATACCTCCACCACCATTTTAACATTAAACACACATTAACATCACTGAGACTTCTCAAACCCAACCCCCTTGGGCTTTACTTTTACATACCTCTTTCCATTGAACTAAGTGAATTTTCCTTTTAATTTCAGAACCTCCCCACAAAAATTTTGATTGAATCCTATCAATTGTTTTAGCAACACCAACGGGCATTTTAAAGATGGATAGAAAATACAGTGGAAGACTTGACAAAACAGACTTAACTAGGGTCAATCTGCCGGCAAAGGACAAAAATCTCCTTTTCCAAGATGCTAACGTCTTTTTAAACTTCTCCACCACCGGTTGCCAAGTACTTCTTCTCCTTGGATTGGCCCCTAAAGGTAAACCAAGATATGACAGAGGTAGACTCTGGTTGAGGCAATTTAGTGTTTTAGCAAACTCCTTAACTAGCTCCTCTTCTACTCCAATACCACAAACTATACTTTTATGAAAATTAATCTTGAGGTCTGACATGACTTCAAAACACCTCAAGATTCTTTTAATCATTATAATTTCCTCCCATTTGGCTTCACAAAAAATAATAGTGTCATCTGCAAATTGTAAATGAGAAATTTTCAGCTCTTGATGACCAACTGAAGCTCCTCTGATCATCCTCTTTTCTTTGGCTCTCTCTAATAAAATATTTAAACCTTCTGCCACTATATTGAATAGGAAGGGCGATAGTGGATCTCCTTGTCTTAAACCCTTCTGAGGAGAAAACTCTGCTGTGGCCGATCCATTCACAAGCACTGAGATCCTTGATGTAAATATACAGGACCAAATCCAACCCACCCATTTTTCACCAAACCCAAGATTCTTTATCATTGACAGTAAAAACTCCCAGTTAACTGAATCATAGGCCTTCTCAAAATCCAATTTAAGAATGATTCCTTTTTTCTTAGACTTTCTCCACCAATCCACCACTTCGTTTGCAATTAAAACCCCATCCAGGATGCATCTACCAGAGATAAAAGGAGATTGAACTTCTCCTATGAGCTTTGGGAGTACTTTCCTTGCCCTTCTAGACAACACTTTAGCCAACACTTTATAAATTGCGCTAACCAAGCTTATGGGCCTATATTCACTCAAATCTATTGGGTTCTTCTTTTTAGGGATCAAAGTGATGAAAGAGCTGTTTACCCCTTTGGCCAACTTCCCATTACGATGAAACTCTTGGAACAACTGAATGAACTCACCTTTCATTAAAGACCAGCACTTCTGAATACAATACAAATTGAAGCCATCAGGCCCAGGGGCTTTATTCCCATCACAGTCTTGGATGGTTGCCCAAATTTCTGCTTCAGTAAAATCTGCCTCCAACACTACCTTTGAGTCAACAGAACTAATGGACAACAAAGGCCCTGCCAACTTAGGCCTGCTCTTCCAGCTTTCAGCAAAAACTCTTTTAAAGTAGTTCACCACTACTTGCTTCACCATACTTGGATCCTCCACCACAACCCCATCTGCCTGCACTGAATCCAATAAATTTTTCCTCTGCTTGTTACTTGCCATCAAGTGAAATAGTCTAGTATTTTTGTCACCATTTTGTGCCCATGACATTCTAGACTTTTGTAGCCACAACCTGTCTTTACTTCTACTTAGATTCCAAACTTGACTTCTGATCTCCCGTCTTCTAATCACCTCTGATTCCAACAAGGATCCAGATTCAGCCTTCAAGTCCCACTCATGGAGTTCATCTTCCGCTTTTTGAAGTTGGTCATCAATATTACCAAAGACCTCCATGTTCCACCCACGCAGATATGCTCTCAGTCTTTTAAACTTAGACATGAGTCTATAACTAGCCCAACCCTATATTTGAGCCTCCTCCCAGACCTTTTCCACATCCTTTTTAAACTGAGGATGGGATGTCCAGGCATTAATAAATCGAAAAGGTTTAGGCCCCCAATCCTTCCCATCCTCCATAAGCAAAACTGGACAGTGATCTGAAATTGCCCTAGCCAAACCCCATTGTTTAAATTTATACTTCTCTAACCAGATAGGATCAAGTAAAAACCTATCGATCCTACTCCACCTCTCCCCATCCAATGCATTACACCATGTGAATAATCTTCCATGCATATTCAGATCAATTAATTCCAAGCTATTAATAAGATTATTAAAATCTTTCATTCCCCTATCTCTTCTTGAACAGCCCTTCCTTTCACTCATAACTCTAATCTCATTAAAATCACCACCCAGACACCAAGGGTTGGGATAAGAGAGCTTAAGATTTATAAGACTCTCCCATAGTTTCCTCCTCTTCACTACATCAGTCGGAGCATAAATATTGCAGATGACACAATGAAAAGATTGAGATAAGATACCTGAAAGAAGAATGAAATTCCTGGAATTGCAGCAGTCTATCAACTGGAAAATCTAAGGGTTCCAAATGCAAAGGAGACCACCTGCACTTCCCTCTGCACATACCTCCATAAAATCCATTTCATCCATTGGCCATAGGGACTTTACAAAATTACCATCAACAGCTTCTCTCTTAGTCTCCTGCAGCATCAAAACTTCTACTAATTTTGCCCTCGCCAATGCCTTAATTCTACTCCCTTTTTCAGGTCGTCTAAGACCCCTGACATTCCATGACATGAGTTTCATTAAAACCTCTACCACAGCTCCTGTACTCCTTCATTTGTCCAGCACCTTAATCAGCCTCTCTCCTCCCTTCAACTCTTTTTAAATCTTTTTCCTCCAACTCTATTATTCTGGCCACCACTTCCTCCTCTTTCCCTTCACAGTTTAGTCCTAAAGCCTTTCCGACCTCAATCGTAGCTCGGGCTTCTTTAAGTAACTTGCTTCTTCTTTGAGAATTACTCCTCTGTGATGCTGATAGGGACATAGCAGCTGCTGCCGCTCGAAGGATCACTCCACTTCTGAGACTGCTACTACATAGTATCCCCTTCTATTTTGGATGGCCCCCCTGCTCCATTTTTTCTTTACTCTGGTCGACTCCTTTCCTCTTCAGATCAGACTTCCTTTTTGATCCAGCATTAACTTTCTGAGATGGGCCCCCCTTCTCATGGTTGTCTTTGTATGCTGCATCTTCCCCTATAGCCTTATACTGATTCTGGGCTATGCAATCACTCAGATTGGAATCAACTTCCCATCTTGGCCCATTAGTTATAGGTTGAACTTGGGCTCACTGGCCATGTCCATGAGATCCACCTTCGTAATGCTGATTGTCATTTTAATGGAAATGTATTTGAATATGAAGCTTTTTTTCGTGATTGGCCATTTGCATATGAAGCTTGCTGGAGTTATCACCCGTTAGGAGGTAAAATAAATCATTCTTTGCTCGATTTGAAGCACCTCCGTTATCTGGACTTGAGCGGGAATAATTTTGGAGGGATTCGCATTCCTAGCTTCATTGGCTCTATTGGAAGTTTTAGGTATCTCGACCTGTCTAATGTCGGATTCAGTGGTGCCATTCCTTATCAATTAGGAAATCTCACCATGATGCGTTATCTGGACTTGAGCTGGAATCATTTTGGAGGGATTCGCATTCCTAGCTTTATTGGCTCTATTGGAAGTTTGAGGTATCTCAACCTATCTCATGCCGAATTCAGCGGGGCCATTCCTCATCAACTAGGAAATCTCACCATGATACGTTATCTGTACTTGAACTGGAATCAACTTTTTCAAGGTATTTTTCCTGAAACTGAAACTGAACTACGGTTACATGGCGATAATTTACACTGGGTTTCAGGTCTTCGTTCATTACAATACCTTGACATGTCATGGGCAAACCTTAGCAAAGCAGTGGATTGGCTAGAGGTGACAAGCACGCTTCCTTCTTTGGTAGAATTACACTTACGTGGTTGTGATCTCAAATATTCTTCTCCTTCAACTACCATTAACTTTACATCACTACATATCCTCGACCTTTCTGGTAACAATTTTGCATCGTTTATACCTAAGTGGATTTTTAGTTTGAATCTAGTTTCCCTAGATATCAGTAGTTGTTATGGCCCAATTCCCAATGGTATTCAAAACATGACTTCTCTCAAAATGTTTTATGCTGCTGGAAATAATCTGAATTCATCATTGCCCAAGGGGTTGTTTAGCCTCAAAGACCTTCTTGTTCTGGACTTAGGTTACAATAAGTTTCAGGGACCAATTTCAATTGGCCTTCTAAACATGACTAGTCTTAGAGATCTAGATTTATCCTATAATTTTTTCACTTCCTTGCCAAATGGGTTGTTGTCTAGTCTTAGCCGTCTCGAGTTGGTCATTCTCAAGGGCAATCTCTTGCATGGTGTAAACTCAGGAGCCATAGGAAACGTGACTTCCCTCATTAGCCTTGACTTGTCTAACAATTTTTTCACTTCCTTGCGAAATGGGTTGTTATCTAGTCTTAGCCGTCTCGAGTCAGTCATTCTTAGTGGCAATCTCTTGCATGGTGTAAACTCAGGAGCCATAGGAAACGTGACTTCCCTAATTAGCCTTGACTTGTCTAACAATTTTTTCACTTCCTTGCCAAATGGGTTGTTTAGGCTTAGTCGTCTCGAGTCGGTCATTCTCGCCCACAATCTGTTGCAAGGTGTAATCTCAGGAGCCATAGGAAACTTGACTTCCCTCATTAGCCTTGACATGTCATACAATCAACTTGAGGGAAACATACCAAGATCGTTGGGAAAATTATGCAAGTTGAAGACAATTGATTTATCATATAACAAATTGGGTGGAGACATAACAGAACTTTTCAGAAGTTTCTCCCATTGCATTTTATGTGGATTGGAGTCAATGTCATTAGCGAACAATTATCTTGGTGGTCAATTTTCAAATGAGCTTGACCAATTCAAAAATCTAACCTACCTTTCTCTTAAAAACAACTCCATTTTCTGGTCCCATTCCAATGTCGATCGAAAGATTATCATCCTTGGCAAGCTTTGATCTTTCCTATAATCATTTGAATGGAACTCTTTCTGAAAGTCTTGGGAAACTTGTGAGGTTAAACTTTTTAGATGTATCTCATAATTTGATGAAGGGTGTTGTCTCTGAGATTCACTTTGCCAATCTCACAAGATTAAGTTTCCTATATGAAAGTGCGTGCTGGTTGGATCCCCACTTTTCAAGTTAGAGTTTTGATGTTGGCCTCTTGGCAATTAGGGCCGCAATTTCCAGCTTGGCTTCAATACCAAGGACAATTAGAAACATTGGACATAGCCAACACAGGAATTTCTCATTCCATTACGCAATGGTTTTGGCCCAAAATTTCCAACCTTTTTCAATTAAATCTCTCTCGTAACCAAATTCATGGAGAGATTCCAAGAAAATTTGAGGTCGTTAGTGCTCCTGTGGTTGACCTGAGTTCCAATAACTTTAAGGGTACGTTACCATTCATCTCCTCTGCCGTGGCATTGTTAGATCTGTCAAATAACTCTTTTGAAGGATCTATTTACCACACCTTATGTGGTCTGATAAGGGAACCAAATGGGCTATCTATTCTTAATCTTGAAAACAATAATTTGTCTGGAGGGATTCCTAATTGTTTGAAGACTTGTCCAAATATGCGAGTCTTAAACATGGAAAACAACAATTTGATGGGTACCATTCCGCCCTCTATTGGACATTTAGCTTTCCTCGAATCATTGCACTTGCGACATGACAATCTCTCAGGAAAACTACCACAATCTATTCAACATTGTACAGAATTGGTACTCATTGATCTTGGTGGAAATGAACTTATTGGAGGCATACCAACTTGGATAGGGAATTCATTTTCGAAATTGATGCTTCTTAACCTTCGCTCAAATAAGTTTCAAGGTGGCATTCCATATGAACTATGTGGTCTAAGTTCTCTTCAAATCTTGGATCTTGCACATAATAATCTCTCAAAACTTGTGCCAAAATGTTTCAACAACTTTACGGCCATGGCAAAAAGACAAAATTCAGGAGCGATCATGTCTTATTCCCCACCAAGTTCCCCAGGAGGAGGAGGAGTTCAAGAAAATGCATTTTTGGTGACCAAAGGAAGAGAGGTTGAATATAGCACCACCCTTAAATTGGTTGTAAGCATGGATCTTTCAGAAAACAATTTATCTGGAGAGATCCCCTAGGGACTAACTAGACTAGTAGGGTTGCATTCATTGAATCTGTCTGGAAATCATTTTACAGGAAAGATCCCAGAGAATATTGGTGATATGGAACAACTTGAATCCCTGGATTTGTCTCTAAACAAACTTTGTGGTGAAATTCCTTTGAGCATGTCGAGTTTGACATTCTTGAGTCACATGAATTTGTCTTATAACAATTTGATAGGACAAATTCCATTAAGTACTCAACTTCAAAGCTTGGAGATTTCCAGCTTTGTCGGCAACAAACTTTGTGGACCTCCACTCTCAGACTGCGACATAGACAAGGCGATACATAAAGTCGGACATGGAAGCAATAAAGAAGGTGAGGGATTTCCAGAAGTGTGGTTCTATGCAATCTCGACACTTGGATTTGTTGTTGGTTTTTGGGTTGTGGTAGGTCCTTTATTATTCAAGATGGGTTGGAGAATTGCTTATTTTCGATTTCTTGATGATATCTGGTACAATTTATGTAATTTTATTTTTAAATGTCGCTATATCTTTTGTGATTGAAGGAAGAACTCATTTATTCCTTCATAAATAATTATGAGTGTAGTAATTGATGTATTTGTAGTTTCCTTTTGATAAGGTTTGCATTGTTTAGTTTGCAACAATGTAGTGTGAAAACAAAACGAACGATGAATCCATCAGTCTATTTGGTGTAAAAGAGTGGAATTTAAGTTTCTTGGCAAACTCAAAATATGAGGAATGATTCTTTAGATAGTATTTAATTTAGTTCACTAAAATAATTTAGACATGAATAAAATGGCTATTCCTTGATCTCTCAATGGAATTGTCATGCTCCTAATTGATGAATATTTTGAAAGAATCACCATTTTGTTCCAAACTCATTCCAAGAAATCAAGCACTGCATAAGGTCTTTTCTTTCCGTAATACATTTCATTTGAGTCATATGAACCTTGGTGAGCTTAGACCAAGTAGTTGCAGGCCCTCATTGTCCTGTTAATGATCTATGTTGAATTCAATTTTTTTTTTGTGCTTTCGATCATATTTAGCACATTATGATCTGCATAGTTTGGGATTTGTATTTTTAATTCTTTTTTCTTGTTTAGTGATTTTTTTTTCCAGAATTGACTAATAAATCCCATATATTGAACTTATGATTCATATAGTCCTATATATATATATATATATTCGGTGTAATCCATTTAGTCCTTTTAGATATGGAATGATTCATTTGCCATTATTTGATGATATGGGTAGCGGTAACAAATCTCCTTAATTGTTGCTATTTGTTGGAGTATTACATTCAGAAAAAGTATACTAGTAAGTTTTTTAGTAGACCTTTTATATATACCTAATGTCACATCATACCCGCCATGAATGTGTCAAACCCATTTATGTTAAGAAACTTCCAATTTCAAACACACACAAAATCTTGACGTATGGGAATACCCTAGAATCCTGCATGGGTCATCATCATCTTTCCAAATTTGAATTATGTAGATTCAGAATCACCCAAATTCGTGATGTGGAACGTGCAAATGTCAATGTGAATCACCCAAATTAAGAATCACCGAAATTCATGATGTGGAATGTGCGAATGTAAATGTGGAACATGCAAATGTGAATGTGGATAAAAATTCGAGATATGGAACGTGCGAGTGTGAATGTGAATGTGAATGTGGATAAAAATTTCTCGACTGTGGGTCGGGTGTTTGTCCCGTTTGGGACTTCTCATTATATTAATTGAAGTCATACAAATCATTTTAATTATGTAAGTATTTTTATATATTTTTTGAATTATTAATTTTGATATGGTGGAATATGAATAAGGGTAAAACTGTCCACTAATGATCTACAATTATTCTAAAATAATGGGACTTATCTAGTCATAAGAAATTCATAGGACTTTTGGATATGCAAGATTTTTGAAATGGGACTTTCAAATAAATTTTCCTCCAAAATTTTAAATTTAATTTTTTTTCAAATTTTTTTTTAATAGTTTTTACTCGGTTAAACGGACCAGAATTTTTTTTTTTTTTAAAAGAAAAAGTTCATTGAAGATGAAAAAAAAAATTAGAAAAATATTTGGCTTTTTTTATTTTACTTTTTAAATCTTTTACACTAGACAGACCTGAAAAGTAAAATATAAATTAAAAAAATTGATGCAAATTTATATCTAGGGCAAATTACAGCAATGGTCCCTATAGTTTACCCGTGGTTTCATTTTGGTTCATGTACTTCTAATTGCATCAATTTTGCTTCTACAGTTTGATTTTTGGCTCTATATGGTCTAATAGTTAATAGCCGTTGACTTTTTGGACGGAAAACTACACGTGCCTTGCATGCACGGGATGAAATCGACTAATAACTTCTCCAAAACAAGGCACTGTTTGTTTGTGTGCTGCTGACATAGCACAACAAAGAGATTATTTGCTTCTAGAAGATTTGTCGCTCCTTCTTGGCTTAGGCTCCATTTGGTTGAGTTTTTAATTATTATTTTTTAAATATTAAAAATTAATTTAATATAAATAAATATCAAAAATAAAATTTTAAAAAATTAAAAATTATTTCCTACCCAAAAATAAAAAATTAGATGAAAATAATATATATTTTTATTTTTTTACCAAACTAATTTTTAAAATTTTAATATTCTTCAAAACATAATTTCTAGAACTCAACCAAATAGAGGTGTAATGGAGTAACCTGTCTATTTGCTAAAATATAGTTTTTATTGGAATTTTAGCTAAAACATAATTTATTGACTCAAAGTCAACTTATAAAAATTTAATACTAAAAAAACTAATTCATTTGATACATTATTAACTTTTTGACTCGTGCAACGTTTGGTAATTTTTTCAATTTTTACATTTTTATGTAACATTACCAATTTACCCATGAAAAAAAAAAGTTCATAAGAATGATGGATAGAGACAAAGTAGGGAAATTACAAAAAGTTGAGTGTTTTTTTTTTTTTTTTTTTTTTTTTTTTTTTTTTTTTTAAGGAAATATCACTTTAATGTATACTCACAAAAATATTTTTAGATCAATAGCATTCATTATAAACATTAATATGCAGAATTATAAACACTTTCATAATTTTAGTGTGTGTAATTTTATTCTTTCAAAAAATATTTTTGTGAGTATACATTGAAGCGATATTTCTTATATAAAAAAAAGGGCAAATTACCAATACTCCCCTGGAGATTTGACTAAAATATGGATTCTTCCCTGAGATTTGGGAAATTACATTCTGCCCCCTGAGATTTATATTTGCATAACAAATTGCCCCATGAGATTTATATTCGCATAACAAATTGTCTTCTCATTTGTTATGCAAATATAAATCTTAGGGGGCAATTTGTAATTTTCCAAACCTCAAGGGAGAATCTGTATTTTAATCAAACCTCGAGGGGGTGTTGATAATTTGCCCTAAAAAAAAAACTCAACTTTTTGTAATTTCCCTACTTTGTTTCTATCCATCATTCTTACGAACTTTTTTTTTATTTATGGGTAAATTGGTAATTTTACATAAAAATATAAAAATTGAAAAAATTACAAAACGTTGCACGAGTCAAAAGGTTAACAATGTATCAAATAAATTAGTTTTTTTAGTATTAAATTTTTATAAGTTGATTTTGAGTCAATAAATTATGTTTTAGCTAAAATTCCAATAAAAACTATATTTTAGCAAATAGACAAGTTACTTCATTACACCTCTATTTGGTTGGGTTCTAGAAATTATGTTTTGAAGAATATTAAAATTTTAAAAATTACTTTGGTAAAAAAATAAAAATATATATTATTTTCATCTGATTTTTTATTTTTGGGTTGGAAATAATTTTTAATTTTTTTAAAATTTTATTTTTGATATTTATTTATATTAAATTAATTTTTAAGCAAAATTATTTATAAGTTCTATTAGGGAGACTTATGCTACATATGGTCCTACTAAAAAACTTATGTTCCCATAAGTCCTGTGGGAAGTTTGCTGACACATTTACCCTCAATATTAGTTGTTAATATCATAAATAATAGTAAAACCCTATTTAGGAAATTGAATATTACCATAGATCATATCTATATAAACGTAACGTAACGTGACACCTACATAAACGTAACGTGATACCTATACGTAGCATGACACCTATATAAACGTAACGTGACACCTATGATCTATGGTAACATGCAATTTCCTATTTAGGAAATTGCATGTTACCATAAATCATATCTACATAAACGTAACGTAACGTGACATCTACATAAACGTAACGTGACACCTATGATCTATGGCAACATTCAATTTCCTATATAGGAAATTGAATGTTACCATAAATCATATCTACATAAACGTAACGTAACGTGACACCTACATAAACATAACGTGACACCTATGATCTATGGTAACATTCAATTTCTTATATTTCCTTATATAGGAAATTGAATGTTACCATAGAAATATAGGAAATTGAATGCTACTATAGATCATATTTATATGAAACGTAACATGACACCAACATAAACCAGCAACATTTTCACATTTAATTTAAAAAAATAAAAACTCATTAAGTTTGTGAAACGTAACGTGACATGTTACGTTACGTTTATATAAGTGTCACGCTACGTTTATGTAGGTGTCACGTTACGTTACATTTATATAGGTGTCACGTTACGTTACGTTTATGTAAGTGTCACGTCACGTTACGTTTATGTAGGATCTTGTGGAATATATTCTTATCTAAATAGGACTTGAGACTCTATAAGAAATTACAAAAGACTTAGCCTATCATAAGTGGCTGAAAAGGGACTTATAAATAAGTCTCTCCAATTTTTAATATTTAAAAATAAAAATTAAAAACTCAATCAAATGAAGCCTAAGCCGAGGAGGAGCAACAAATCTTCTAGAAGTAAATAATCTCTTTGTTGTGCCATGTCAGCAGCACACAAACAAACAGTGCCTTGTTTTGGAGAAGTTATTAGTCAGTTTTGTAACGCCCCGAAAATTTGGGCAGTATATATCT